CAAAAAATCAGAAGTCATAATTTGAGGGGAAAAAAGACAGAATTGTGCAGTTAAAACACCAAATTGCAAGAAGTGCAATTGTTTAATAGAAATTTAAAACTGAATTGCTATACACACACACAATTGAGGGAAAAAAAGTAAAATTACTCATTAGGCCATCACGAAATCTACAGACTTCCACCAATTTTTAGCCCATTATTAAGTCTATTTATTAACGTGTCTAAATGTGTGTACATTTATATTTATTCAGATTTTAAATTAATTTCAGTGATATTATTGACAAATGAAAATGTTCTTATGGTTTATTAGCTGAGAGCGGCGGGGAGTGTGCAAAGGAGGGGGCAATTTCATTTTAAGGGGGAACTTTCTCTCAGAGAGAAAAAAAGGCACGCGCTCAAGCACCCAAACCCTCTTCTGCACGTGCCTGTTGTTTGAAAAGAAGTAAAATAAATAACTCTGCAAACAGAGATAAACCAACTCTGCCTTTACAGTTCAGTCTGCAGCTGCTCATTAACCCTTGAGTTCACTACACCAGGGGTCAGAAAAACGTGCACCACAGTTGTCATAAATCACAAATGATCAGTGTTTGCAATCATACTGCAAGTGACTTATTTTAGGTTTCAAATGCCAAAAGTAGTAGCAGAACAACTCTTTACAGTTCATAAATCACACCACGGTTGTGAAAAGGGCAGTAATTATGTTAAGCATAATCAACAATGGGCTTACTTCATACAGTTTACACATTGTGTGCATAATTAGACATTTTGTGTTGTCTGTAACTGTAATTTTTCGGGTCAGTTAAGGACCATGGTCTGTTCACACTGCAAATCTGATATTGGCCACATTTATAACAAATATGTGAACAGCTATGCTAAAACATCAGATCTGAGAAAAAATCAGTCTTGAGCAGTAAGCCTCGCAGTGTGAACATAGTCTCATATGAGAGACTTGCTTTGTTTACTATTTATATTATTATATATGAATTTTTTTTCCAAAATTCTGTGCAGAAATAGCAAAAGAATTGTCAGCAGATTCTGTCTGGCCCTTATCATTACTCATTGAATTTATTACCTCTAATACCTGTTTAGCATCCATAAATTGTGGGTTTATAAAGAAGTCTGGGAACTCGCTTTCTTTGACTATCAAGTTTATAAGTATGTTTCTGAAACAATGATTTATGTCAGTATTCATTTACACTCATCTGTGAAAACTTTTTATAATGCTGCATTTTGTGTACCAGGCCAGTACTCAAAACTGTGATTGTTGTGTAAACAGAACAGGCAAACGCCCCTTTTTTGCCTGAAAACATCGTCAAAACAAAACATTGCAAAGTTTTAGTAAAAGTCAGTGATGGGGACACTTTGATATTTTATTGAAAATCTGTTATGTACATTTGAAAACAGCTGCGTGTGTGTAAATTTGTCCCAGTGGCATTTCTAGTGTTAAACTCATTTATGTATACATCCAATAATTTTACAAATCTCTGAATAATTCCTAGAATAAATGTTGGAGGAAAACTGCTCACCAATCATTTGAAGGAGATCATTTCATACAGGTAAGCTCTCTACCATTTGAATAAGAAGATCGTTTGACGCTTCTTCTCCTTGAGTTTGTATTAATGTGTGTTTTAAAGGCAGCTGCATGTGATGGACGAGACTCATGTGATCAATCAGGTCAAGGAGGATGTGTGTTATGTGTCGCAGGATTTCTACAAGGACATGGAGATTGCACAGTATGGTTATTGCATTCACAAGTTATTAAAAGTTGGGTTATAGACTAACAGGGTGTTGAAGTATTAGAACAATTAAAGTGTAATACAGCTTTTAAAAAAATCTCAATACAATGGAATGTCTTGTTGAAATTATATTTTCCTTGAGGTAGAACAAAAAACTATTACAGATTTTTATGGCTTTTCTGAATATACTGACTAAATCATTTGGTTGACATTTAAAAGAGTTAAAAATAGATACTTGGCTTTACTATGCTTTGATTATATGTATGGAGTTCACTTTTGTCAAAGTAATGCAAACAAGCAAACAAAAAAAATTCTCCTTAAAGGTGCTGTATGTATGTTTTTGACTCTTCTAAAGCATAAAAAACATTATTGTTTATCCAAAAAACAATGCTAAAGTCAGTTATTCTGGTTTGAAAATGTGCTCTGCATGCAAAAAACATCTGTCTTTGTTTTGGTCACTTTAACCCATCCAATGCCAGTTTGGCCAATTATATTTCTGCTCCCCCTGCTGCCTTGGTGGAAAACCGTGTATTTTATTCATTCATTCAGTCAGGAAGGCTCTCAAAGTATTCGTCCGTGACTAAAATGCGACCACCGATGGACAGTATCACACTCAAAATGAGAGGCAGATTCAAAGTTCCACATGAAGTGGTTAATTAATTAGCAAATAATATCATTTTTACAAACAGAATTATTAGTTGAGCAGGTTACATTGTAACCTTGTGCCCTAACAACATGCTGTGTGACGAGATTTGCAGTGATAAGCAATTTGGCTGTTTGCACCAGGCAAAACACGACAGAAATTTAAATGCAGCCATTTAGAAGCACACAATATATATGCACACTCACTGCACTCCAACAAAATAGTAAGGTTTAAAATCTAATTAATGCATATTAAACTTCTTCAACGTTGGTAAATGTACATGCTGAATCACTGATATTAGTTGGTATATTAGTCACAGTTCTAAATTTCAATTTCAAACACTTTTGTTTTTAAGATCTGAGGTTGAACTATCTGCTGCTGCTTTCAGTAGTATGGTGGTAAATGCCATGTAAACTGGCATTCAAACTCGCATTGTTTGCATTTAACAGTGAATAAAGCACATGAGGTGTACCTGAGGTGATTTATTGTCAGTTTATCTCGTTTTTAACCCATGAGAAATAGAAGTCTTTTCTAAAATTTAAATTTCAGGTGTGGGTTAGGACAAAAACTTCTTTTAATATGGAGAGTATTCCTTCTATCCTGTGCCGTTGCTTTTATTTAGAGCTCTATTTAAATTTTTGGCTCGATAGTCGGGCACACTTGATAGTCAGGTTGATGTCGTCAATCTGGCAACCTGTGCTTGCGTGTGTTTTGAACCAGGAGATGCCTAGTTCAACCACAGGGTATCAAACTTGCATACTGCACCTTTAATAAAAATGTATTCAGCAAGGACATATTAAACTGCTATTTATGTATGTAGATGTGTGTGAAATATGATTCTTTCTGGTGATTTACAGATTAAAAGGTGAAGATAATACAGTGATGAAAGACTATGTGCTGCCAGATTTCAGCTCCATCAAAAAGGGATTTTGCAAGGTAAGCATTTTAGTGCATTCCAAAGTCTTGTCCAACAGCATTTAACGGTAAAATTGTTAGCAAGTAGAAAACCAATCACTGAACAAATTCAAATCCTAAGAATTAAGAGCACCAAAACATCTCTGCTCTATTTATTGAATTATAAATTAGAGAGAATTATAACTCAAAATTGAGTTGGCAGATATGTTTTAACCCCCTGAAACAGTTTATCTGACTGAAAGAACAGCCTGCTTCAGTTCTGACACCTTGTGGACAAACTAAGCAGTGCAAAAACAAATCAAAGTGCAGTAATTGATACACAAGCATAACAACTTAAGTATACTGTTGTCTTGTATGGCATGTGAAATCTCAAACAGGGTATCCAGTTTTACCATTTTCTGTTTACTTCTGGTGTCCTGCAGCCTCTAGAGGAGATGAATTTCACTGGCAAATACAAGACTGGGGAGCAGATTTTGCGGCTCACCAATGAGAGGTTTGCTGTCCCGGAGATGCTCTTTCACCCCTCTGACATTGGCATTCAGGAGATGGGCATACCTGAAGCTTTGGTCAACTCCATTAACAACATGCCAGAAGGTACATGCCATCCCATTGGGTGTTTTTGAGGTTTAAATTTCTCTAATATATGCCTATTTTTGTATGTCCAGAAATGCAGCCCCATTTCTATAAGAACATTCTTCTTACTGGCGGCAACACTTTGTTCCCTGGATTCAGAGATCGGGTTTATAAAGAAGTCCGGGCTCTCGCTCCAGTTGAATATGATGTTTCTGTCGTCTTGCCAAATAAGTATGTTTCCGAAATAATGATTTATGTCAGTTTTGTCTGAAGGTTTACTGAATTTTTTTATCTCATTTTTATTCTCAGCCCTATTTGCTACTCATGGGAAGGTGGAAAGTTGTTGGCAGAAAACCCTGACTTTGAAGAGATGGCGGTCACCCGAGATGATTATGAGGAAAATGGACATTATATATGCGAGGAGAAGTTTGATATTTGACCTGTGTTGGGATTCTGTCTTTGGGTACAGAAAATCTGAACACTGCACAGGTTTTGTTTGAAACTAAGGTGTACATTGGCATATTTTTTCATTGCACTCATTATTATTCAATAGTTAGCCTGTTTGATTTTCAATATAGCTTTGTATTAAGAAACTTTTTTTGTATGAAAATAATGTGAACTGGAGAAATAAAAATGTTTTTTTTTTTTTACCCTTTTGTTGGTTAAAAAGTGTATGTACTTATATAATTAAGTCTATTTAATGACAAAGCAAGCAACTTGTTTTAAGGTTTTGGGATTTTTAAAAGTGTTTCAATGTAAAGAAAACCTCCAAAATACACTCAATCGTTTGTTTGCTATACTTTACCCATTTGTGTCTTTATATTTAATTTAAAATGCATATTTAAAGAAAAAAAGCTCCTGCTCTAAGCTATAAATCTCCACTTAAACATCAACTAGGAACAGGTTTCTGCATTGGAATATTTTCATTCATAATGATGATAGTGCCTGATGAATACATCATTCATCAAAAAAAAGTTAACTCTTAGAAAAACAACAACAAATCTTTATTTTTATGCACCGTCTTGTCTTAGTATATTACGTAATTATTGTATAATAAAAACAGTGTGTTTTGGATGTGTGCGTCACGTGACCTCGCGCGGAATACACCAGCTCGCGCTCAAAGTAAAAGCGGCGGGAAAGAAGATTCAGTCCACACTGCCGCTAATCATTTGTGCTCGTTTGTGTAAATAAAAGTTTGCCAATAATTTAAAATAATTAACAACTCGTAAAACCCTTACGGTAAAAATATACTTTAGCGAAGTGATTTGGGTGCTTTTCCTGACTGGAGTTAATCGATACCCGTGGAAAGATAACGTGAGGTAAGAAACGGTTCTGTGAAGAAGATAAATATCGTCTGTTCAGGCGCGTACGTTATATGTGCAGAAATATAATTTCATATAACCTCTGGCGTCTGATTTAAATTAAAATTCAATGATTTGATTAACAGGTGGGCGTTTGTTTGTTGGATTATTATTAATATTAATAGTAGCATTAAAACGCAAAATACTCCTCAAAAACCGAGAGAATGGCCGCTGCAGGCAGAAAGCAGAACAAGAAGACCAAACATACTGACGGTGTGGTGACAGACCTGAAGGCGTTTGACTTCACCGTTCTGGAGGAAAAGAAAGAAAGCGGATCTGACGAAGACACGAGAGATGATGGTCTGTAACTTGTGTATGTTTTTAAATACGAAAACTATACTTGAAATAATTGGCTGTGTTGTTTTTATTTGACCCTTGTGTGCTGTCGGGATGTTTTCATCCGCTCGGGGTGATATTTGAGTCTCGCAGTGATTTTTAGTGATAATGTTACATCACTTTGACATTTTTGTAAAATGTATATAACGTATTTGACATATTTTGAAATTTATCAAAAGCGTCAGCAATACTTCTGAGCATATTTACTAACGTTACCCCTTTGTTATGTTATTGGCTGTTTTGTCCCCATTCATTATAATGACATTTTTTTGATTGCAAATCCATGAAACAGTATAATTGTGCTATCTTAATTTTTGCTGGTTTTTCTTGTTGGGAAGAGGTAAAATTTGTCATTTTATAAATAGTTAAAGTTTTTAAAAAAAAAAAGTAGATTCTTGCTTTTATATAGAGTATTTTGTGTGTGTGTGTGTGTGTGTGTGTGTGTGTGTGAGGACCTTTAATAAATGCAAATAAAATTTGTAACAAAATATGTATGAGTAATATGAGATTTATTTAAAACTGATGATGATAATAAATGATTTTGAAATAAAGATAAGTGATATGTTTGAATTTTGTTACTCCAATTAGAAACTCCAATCATTGACAAGCTGAGCAAGAAAAGATCTGCAGATACGTTTGACGATGAATTAAATAGTGGTGTGGGGTGAGTAGAACAATACATAAGTTTAGACAAAGTTATAAAAATCCTTTGGATAGAAAGAAATGATAATTTGCTGACTTTAATCTCAGGAATGAGGTTCAAAGTATGCTGGAAAGATTTGGTGGTAAGTGAAGTTAACAAAAGCATATAGCCTGTTTTAAATAGTTTCATATGAAAAAACAAAACATGATTAATTGTCTATTTAGCGGACATCAGCAAGGCCATGCAGACCAAAAGGAAACGCCTGGAGGTTCTCACCAAAAATTCCTTAAAGGGCAGCACTCAGAAATTGGAGCAGATGTGGAAAACCCAACAGAATCAGAGGTGAATGAAAGACAGGTGTGGAAAATGCCACTTTAGGATATTCAGAAACATAAATGTGTACGTGTGTGTGTTTTCTTGCAGGCAGAAGCTGACCCAAGATCATTCCCAGCAGGTGTTTTCTGTGCTGCAGCAGTGGGAGAGCGACGTCCTGAAATCCGAGGAGCAAGAGGAGAAACTCAATGTGAGACTTTTCACACATACTAAATAAAGATGTCAATTTCCACTAGGCATTGACCTGCTGTCTTCATTAGTTTAAAAACACAGATTTCTGTACAAATTAAAATAGCATCTTCCGATTCTTTTTTTTTTTTTTTTTTTTTTTTTTTTTTGCTAGTGATACTGTTGTCCTAAAAAGCTAAAAAAAAAAAGAAAAATTAAATTAAGTGAATAAAAAAAATCTTACACATACCATTGGAACGGTTTAACAGAAAATTTTGGGAGTTTTAAAACCTTTTCCAAACCACGGTATATTTTGAAAATGGTTATATCGTCCCATGCTTAATTTCCACAATCACTTAATGAATTAAATGTGAACCTTAATAATGCAGGATGTTTACTTAAAAGGATAGGTCAACTAAAAAGAAAATGTACAGCATCAAGTGGTTCTAAACCTTTATCAGGGTTCGTATGAGTGCTGGAAATCCTGGAAAATGCTTGATTTTTAAGTGCTTTTGGGTTTGGACAAAGTGCTTGAACCTGCTTGAATTTGAAGTTCAATTGCGACCGTTTTGGTTAAATATGTGCCGGAATTTTATCTATGCAAACTCAAAATATATTTAGGAGCATTTGTTTGCGCACATCAGTTTTCATTGCAAAATGTTCACCGCATGCATGTATTTAGGAGTCATTTATGCAAAATGCATATTTGCATCTAAAAACTCTAAACACAGCGCTCAGGAATAGTTTAAAACAGTTGGCATGTTAACTTGCTGCAGTAAACAAAGCCTGCAATGCTTGCCCTGCCTTAAAGCTCTTCTGATTGGCCCACTGCTCTTGAACTAAATGCGAATGGATTGGTTAGTATCAGCTGTCAATCACTCAGTCAGTGCCTTCCTTCAGATGACAGAGTTACAGCCGCGAAAATGTAAAGGTCTGGGTATAAAAGAATAAAAATAACACTAACAGATTTGTTTTAGAAACCACCTAAAGTTTCAAATGATGGCACATCTGATCAGTGATCATGGTGAATGGTAATCCACCATTTACACTTTTCGAAGAGTGGATAAAAGGCTTAAAGTCTGCTATGAAAATAATATAATGATGATAAACACAGCATAAATAAACATAATTTACTGTGGTTGTTAGGTGCTGAAAAAGCTGAAAAATGCACATTAAAAGTGCTTGAAAAGTGCTGGAATTTGAAGTTGGAAAAAGTGTAGGAACCCTGCTTTATGAATTTCTTTCTCCTATTGAACACAAAAGAAGATATTTTGGATAAAGCTGAATACCTGTAACCATTGATTAAGAAGTAGAAAAAACAAATAATATGCAAGTCAATGGTTCCAGCTTTCTTTAAAATCTCTACTTTTGCGTTCAACAAAAGAAAGTCAGAATAAGTAAGAGTAAACCATAAGGTTGGGTGACTTTAAGTTACCTATGTGTCTAATTTTACTTCGAGTACATTAGAGATGCACGATTCTGGCTAAAAATTTTTTTGCCTAAAATAGATTTTCTTACAATTCTGTAGATGTAAAATAAAGGTCAATATAAGTGGGCTATTATTATTGTTATTCTCAAACAGGTGGTAAAACAGCAATAGGCTATGTGTAAGTCGACCATTCGTTAAAAAAAAAAAAAATTGTGCAGAGAATGGTGGACTTGAACAGACTTAAGATTTGTCCTGGTCATTAATGCTGATGATAAGTCTGATGTTGAATTATTGTGTTTGAGATATATGCTTACAATCTGTCATTTTCTGCTTAAAATCTGTCACTGACGTGATTTTTGTGATAACAGAAGACTGGGTGGGTATTTTTGCATTTCGGCAGGTTTTGGATACTTTTTGAGCTGGAATCAGTCAGCTACATCATTCCAACAATGTGTGCGCTTTCGGTTTCATTTTTTGACTGCTAAGAGCGGTTCACTTCCCGCGCGGCTCCCAAACAATTACTCTGTGCCACAAACTGAATGTTATTTACAACTTTATCACCTGTTATTCACAGCCAATGCAGGTTCTGTTCACTAAAGTAGACTTCATTAGTTGACTTAGAGGCACGCGCGCGCCCACCCTCTGGTAACAGCTGTTGGTCAGCTCAGGTCACATGTGATTTTGCAGTCGCAAATACATTACATGAAGACAGAAATGACATTTTTTAGGTGAATTATATCTTATAAATACAGCATGTTACTCTTTCAACACCATTTGGAGGTGTCCACGTTGCTGAACAACGTATGTAAAATAATGTGAAGACTTGTGCAGCCACGATTGCTTCTCTCCTGAACTTGAAAATATGATTGACAGAATCGTAGAAATGCTGGATTAAGATCGTCTAGGGGGTCGAATCGAGATTGCGATCTTTTTACGATTAATTGTGCAGCTCTAGGGTACATGTAGGTAATAAATACACATATTTTACCTATTTTTAGACTCCCCCAACCGCCGCAATCAGCAGCCTGTGCATAGTCATGAAATAAGTAAAGGTGATTCTTAGTTTGACTTTTCGTTGACCATCTACTCTTCACTATTGATCAGAATCGGAATCGGTATTATTGCCAAGTGTGCTTACACATACAAGGAATTTGTTTTTGCTTCAGAAGCTTCCAGTGTAAGGGCTTGACAATAAGGAATGCCCGATGGCCCGGGGCCTGCATGTGAGATGCTTGGGCTAGTGCACAGAATGGTTACTGGCCCGATCAGCCCAGTGCTGCCTTGTCACAAAAGTTCGGCTGTGACTGTCTTTCAATTGCATGCAAATGCAATCTTAAGGTGCTTTAACACATAGATGTTTCTTTTGGAATCGGTCTCGTTTCCACGCGATTAGCACAGTTTGTTTGGCATATGTGAGTCCAGCAATCAGGCTCTGATCCGCGCCAAATCAGTTGGTCCAAGATTGCCTTAATGAGATGTTCTCTGCTCGATAGAGCTGATCGATTGTAGTAGGAAAGCAAAACGGTCCAACGAACCCGGCTATATCACATATGTGGCTATTACACAATCAGAATACACTTACAGCATGATTGTGTGATAGCCACATATACGGCTATATGAAGAGAGAATGATGAGCAGGGCGAGATGTCATTCAGTGTGTGGCTAAGAAATAGCTATTTCTGACATGACGGACAAGATTTTGCCCATTCTGACTAGCTGTTTTCTATCTGTTAGAAAGCCGGTGATCCATTGACAGACAGAGCTTGGAACATCTGAATTTCTGGTTTTGAAATTTAGAATATTGAATTTGATGTTCTATATTTCTTCATTTTGAAAACTTGAAACTGTATTGCTTTAAACCCAATATCTGCAGTCTATGAATTCAGAACAAAAAAAATCAGAATTTTGAAAATATCAGATCATTAATAATCTGCTCTGGCGATTGAACTGATTCTAGGGGTGCTGTCACCCCACAACAAGAATGTCACTGGTTCGAGCCTCGGCTGGGTCAGTTGGCATTTTTGTGTGGAGTTTGCACATTTTCCCTGCTTTCGTGTAAGTTTCCTCTGGGTGCTCCGGTTTCCCACACAAGTCCAAAGACATGCGGTACAGGTAAATTGGGTTGGCCAAAAAAATTGTCCGTAGTGTATGTGTGCGAATAAGTGTGTATGGTTGTTTCCCAGTGATGGGTTGCAGCTGGAAGGGCATCTGCTGTGTAAAACATATGCTGAATAAGTTGTTGGTTCATTCCGCTGTGGAGACCCACTTTTATTAAAGGAACTAAGCCGTAAAGAAAGTGAATGAGTGAATGATTTAAAACTATGCATGTCAATGACGTACAGCCATGCCAATTGACCCTAGATAAGGTGTTTCCATTTAAAAGATTAGTTTGCCACCAATTAATCATTGTCATGGCTAATACAAAATACAGCCCCAAAGTTTTCCAACTTGCAAGGTGTCATTTTGGGGCACTGCATCAAGCTAAGGAATGTTCTTTGGATTAAGGGTTTTGTGAAATGAATTTTTAAGGATATCTTGCGGTCATTTCGAGATATTTGACGTTACCAACCATCTCACACTTTGACTTTGAACCTCTTAATTTGTTTCCACAGAATTTGTTTCGCCAGCAACTGAAGCTTTTCCAGCAGGCAAGGGTTGTGCAAAAGCAAAAGATAAAAACCATCAATGACCTGCATGAGCAGTTCGTCAAGGTCATTAGCACTTTATTTGTGTCAAATTGAACCAAGTGCTTTGATTTTTTTGGCTGACCAGGCAAACTCTTTCATTTCTGCAGAACATAGAGGAGATGGAGAAAAGCCATGAAGCTTTCCTGCAGGGCACGCAGATGGAGCTTCGGAAGGAAATGGCTCTTCTGCAGAAGAAGATTATGATGGACACAGTGAGTGCGCTAATGAAAGTCTGTATATTTTAAAATCAGCTTTATATGGCTAAAAATAGACTTGCACTATAATGAGACATATATGCTATATTTTCAGGATGGTTTAAGCAGGCATTTACAAAAACAACTATTTTTACCTAATATTATATTATATGTTCATTATATGTATATGTACAATTAAAGACAAATATTTCCCAAATGATATTTAATGGAGAGATTAATTCAGCACATTTTTAAATATAGTTTTAATAACTATTGTCTTTTGTCTTTATAATGATGACAGCACATCATTTTATACTAGTTATATTGAAAAATGCTAGTACTTATCTTAAAGTGCAATTTAAGCCAATAGAATCTATTGTAGCCAATAGAAATTATTTATATATAATTATTTTTTTAATCCAGCCAGTCTAAAAGAAATATTACTTTCTCACAAGAAATATATAGGTAATAAATAGGAAATACTGTTAAAATGTCCTTGGTCTGTTAAACATATTTTGGGAAAATGTGAAAAATTATTTCAAAAATAATATATACATTTCACAGTTGATGACAGTAATCATTTTGTCATCAACTGTATGTAAGGATGAATTCATGTGCATTCAGCAGTTATAAATTTTCACTTATTTTTATTTTACAGCAACAGCAGGAGATGGCCACTGTCCGCAAGTCTCTTCAGTCCATGCTGTTCTGAACATGTCTTTCTGACGTGACTTTAACTTCTGTTCTGCTAGGAAGATTTCTTTTTTGATTATGAGTTTATAAGTTATCTCTCTCTTTTAAATCAGTTTATTTGTTTAATTTAACAATTGGAGCTGTTGCAGTATATGCAATTATTCTAATATATGCTTACATGTACATGTATTTTTAATTCCATTTTAAGAATAAAGATCCAATTTAATTCAGTTTCCCTTTCCATGTTCTGAAATTTTCTATTTATACTAAATATTTTGGTGGACATATTTAATTTTATGTCTTTTTTTATAATAATCTATTGAAATTGCAAGCAATATAAAGTCTTAAATTATATATTTTACAATTAAAACGTTTATTAATATATATATATATATATATATAACAATAATTTACAATCATATTTAAAAAATTGTGTAAAACGATAAGTAACTAAAAATCCTTTTTTTATTACATTGTTTACGATTTTTATATAATTTAAAAATATGCAAAAGCACTTATGATTACCATTTATAATGGTAAATAACAATACAAAATGTTATAAAATGCAGAATAGGCATTAATAAAATATATTTAAAAACCAAATAACGTTAATGGTTATGACAATAGGCTGTTAAAAAAATATGGATGACTTTACAAAAAAAAACTGCTGAAAAATGAACTTGGGTATGCAAGGAAGATCTTCAAATGGAGTTGTGGAATCAAACTTCCTGCTAAACATTCAAATTAGCCACGCCCCCTGATCCTCTCATTGACCGCTTGTATCTGCACTGTAACAAAGGCTTGCTAAAATAAATATAAGCACTTACATTTAAAAGCATGCAATATTATACGATTTATTAAAAACAGTGTTGTGTAAACTGTTTTTAGAAATTTACATATAAATAACATGTTGGACTGCAAAATGAACAATCATTCATGTAGTCTAGTCCAGTGGTTCCCAACCTTTTTCTTTGGAGCCCCCCCCATGAACATATACAAACATTGGAGCCCCCCCACCATATAAATACACACGCACGCGCATACATATGTACTGTGTGTGTGTGTATATATATATATATATATATATGTGTGTGTGTGTGTGTGTATGTGTAATATTAATATATAGTAATATGTATAGAAAATATTAATTAATCAGTTTTAACTTGTCTTGGCCTTCAATAAAACCAAAATTTATGTAGGCTTTGTCATACTGTCTAATCTTTTTCTTCGCCTCTGAAGAATCCCTGCATTTACGTTTGTCTGCCATTTTTGTTTAGATTTTGCCTTTACGACACGTTGACAAGCAGATTGCGCGAGTGAGCAAAATTTAAATAATTATTTAAAGTTATTTATTTTAATTATTTTCACTATTATGTTGGAATTTTAAGCATGCGTTTAGATTTTTATTTATTTTTTTGGTACTTAAAAATACATATATAATAGTAGGGCTGCTCGATTTTGGGAAAAATCATAATCACGATTATTTTGGTCATAATTGTAATCACGATTATTCAAAACCATTGCCAGTTAAAGTCAAAATTATTAGCGCTCCTGAGATTTTTTTTTTTTATAAATATTTCCCAAATTATGTTTAACAGAGCAAGGAATTTTAACAGTATTTCCTATAATATATTTTCTTCTATTTGTTTTATTTTAGCTAGAATAAAGAAAGGTTTAAATATTTTGAAACCAATTTAAGGTCAATATTATTAGCCCCCTTAAGCAATATATATTTTTGATTGTCTGCAGAATAAACTACCGTTATAATGACTTGCCTTATTACTCTAATTAAGCCTTTGAACTGCACTTTAATCTGAATGCTTGTATTTTGAAAAATATCTAGTAAAATATTATGTGCTGTCATTATAGCAATGACAAAAAGAAATCAGTAATTAGAAATGAGATATCAAAACTATTATGTTCAGAAATAAGTAAATAAAATATTCTTTCCATGAAACAGAAATTGGGCAGGAAAAGGTTTGCTAATAGTCAAGATGGCTAATAATTCTGACTTCAACTGTATGCTTACAGTTATTTTCCACCCTGCAAAGGAAAGAGAAATAAATACAATAGAATAAAAATATAAAACAAACTGTGTTTTAAGCATCTTCACTGTAACAAAAACACTTTAGCTACAGCAGTCCTTCAGTCAAGAGCAGCGAGGGTTTTCTCGTTGTGTTTGTTTAATAATGATAAAAACAGGCGGCAGAAGGATTATAGCGCACTGTCTCTTTAATAGTTTCTCTTTCACGTCTTTTGATCCTCAACTCGTTTGTTTATTACACAAATGAGGGTTAATGTACATAATCACTAAACACCGCGTTTTGACACCTATTTTACCATTAAAGCGCTCACGTTAAGATGACTTTAGATGTCTGCGCTCCTCTGCTTGTCTCAGTGTGTGAATGAGAGTGAATGCTGACCGGCCGCATGCTTCTGACTGCGTGATCGTGCTGCACACACACATAAGCTCTTTCGCGCTTTTAAGAGCCATTTAAGAGCGTGTACAACTGGAACGTGGCAAAATATGATGCAATAATCATTTATCTCGATTAATGCTTTTTTATAATCGTTTGAAACCGAAATCTAAATCGGATATTCGATTAATTGCAAAGCCCTTTATAATAGTGGAGCATTTTTATGCCTTTTTCTACCTCAATACTTATCCTCTCCCGCACCCCCCCTGTGAACTCTGGCCCCAGGTTGGGAACCACTGGTCTAGTCTACTTTAAGTCAGGCTAAGCTATGTTGAGCACAAAAAAAATCCTTCTCGTGTAATGTTGTTAGTATTTGTTAACTTGGTAGAGGTAACAATTGCAAAAAAAAATTAAACCTATAAACATCACCTTTTCTTATTATTCTCAGAAGTGTTTGATTATTATAATTAATTTATAACATTATGACTAGATCAGTGGGAATCAGGCTCCCTTGTCCTAAATTCCATGATTTCATAGCGCAGTTACAACACATTCCAATTACTATGGACAACTGTTAATATGCACCTGTCAATCAATTTGGTGGGCAAGGAAACCTGCACTTTTACGTCACATTGGGCCTCAGTATCACTGTGATTTGGATCCTATTTTAATGTACAGATTTTTTTCTTGTGGTAATATCACTCCAGTATGACAAGTGGCCACACCATACCTACTCACAGGTCTGTTCAAGCAGTTTCCAAAAGTAAATTTGCATCATAAGTGCTCATTAAATCTTTTCAACTGAAGTGAATAAGAATGAATAAATTAGATGAAATTTCTGGGTTGTATTGTGGATAAAATATAGGTTAAATTATAAAATAAACAGGCGGGCACATGTATTAAGTGTTGTATTTTTAAAACTTTAATGTATATGTAAACATAAGCAGGAATCAACATCGACCTCTGCATAAACAGATGAGTTATTTTCATCATCTTATAGTTGACCTATTATAAGGATCAGAAAGAACTTCATTGCCAGGTGTGTTTACATGTTACATAAATTTGTTTTTGTGACAGAAGTTTTCACAGTGCAACTAAAATATAGTGACAGGACAAAAACACCAAGGAATTTCAAAAGTAAGAAGTAAATAGAGAGAAAATTATGCAATATTGAATGCGCAGCTGTATTACAGTATGTGCAAATTGAAATGTAAACCATTTTGTTAAAGAATAAGTCTAACTGTACTGTATATAAATAGTATAATTTGTTCTGCAATTATTATCAAGTGTTCATGATGGACTGCCTGAGGGAAGAAACTGTGTCGGGCGTTCTCTGCTCTGCACCATGGTAGATGGTAGAATTTTAAAGAGGTACTGTTTGTCTATCTGTTCATGCCCACCACAATTCTATCCATCAAACATCTATCCATTATATATATATATATATATATATATATATATATATATATATATATATATATATATATATATATATATATATACATATATATATATATATATATATATATACATATATACATATATATATATATATATATATATATATATATGTATGCCCAGCCCCATCCACCCCTATTTGGGAGACTATCCATCTAAATCATGCGTCTATATCAAAACATATAGCAAAAAATTAAAAAATAAATGTCAATATATAATTTAAACAGATTCGACGAAAACGAAAAAGGCTCCTTTAAATTGATCAGTGTGCCGGAAGTGTCGTAACCGGAAGAAAGCAAGAATGACTCCATGGCGGCGTTTTCCATTGTGACTTCGCTGTTAGCTGAAAAGGTTTTAAGGCGATGATTTGTGCTTTTCGTTGAGGGATGTTTTGTAATGGTGGTAAGTAAAGTCAGCTCATTTGAACTCTTTCAAATAACCGACGTCTTGTTTCTGTTCACGACGGCCACATAAACGCTCTTAACGTGATGTGACTTGCTAACCGGTTACATGCTTCATGGATTAACTTAACCTCCGTTTAAACGCCTCAGTATTATCACACACGGAGAGGACCGTCAACGCCTGTCATACAGTTTTCACTAACAAACGCTTTTTGTTTATATATATATTTTTTGTGCCAAATTTGTGAGGAAAATTAGCTTCCCTTATGCGTATGAGGGCTTTTATTTGTCTTTCTCCTTTGTATTTTCACTTTCGTAGACTCGCCAGCTCATGGTCTGTCAGCTTTAGCCAAAGTATAAACACATTACGCTGTATTTGAGAAGAGCAGTCATGGACGAGAGACAGGACAGCAGCAGTGATGACCCCCTTTACAGTCCCCGGATGGAGGCTGACCCTCTGGACTCGCTCAACAACGCCTGTTTACTGAATGACAGCGACTACCTGTTTGAAGAGCCTGGACTTTCTCACGATTTCTCCAGCACTTGTGTTCCTGAGACTCCTAGGTATCATTTTTTATGTTTTTTTTTTTTTTGGGGATTGAAATGGAGAAGTCATGGGTTTATAGTAATCAGAGAAATGACTGCTGTGTAACTTTTAATTGCAGCCCTTTGATTCATAGAAGAAAACGACATTCCCAAAAGGACGAGGACAAAACTGTGGTAAGAGAAATATGATTGCCTTCAGAATGTCATACCGCTATCTGTGTATACGTTTGAAAGTATTTATTTTCCAAGTGTTTGTGTGTATGAACACTCACCGACCACTTTATTGGGTACACCTTACTAATACCAGGTTGGACCTCTTTTGCCTTCAGAACTGCCTTAATCCTTCATGGCATAGATTCAACAAGGTACTGGAAATATTATTGGTCTATATTGACATGAAAGCATCTC